ATCTAAAGAGAGGGATCATAAGGCAGAACGGGCACCAGATGAGTCACACAGGCCTGAGAGATGTGAGCTCAGTGAAGGTGGGCTGGTCAGGTAAGACTTCCCGGAAGCAGTGGCTGTGCTAGAGCAGAGCCTTGAATGCCAAGTCAATTTGGACAAACAGCCTCCATCAGGGATGCCAGGCAGTCACCAAGGAAACACAAGGAGATTTTGAGCAATAACTCATCAGTCAGTCCCCAGCTGGACTGGATGAAACCCTCAAGAAGAGGAATCACGGGAGATGCTGATAGAGAGGGAGACGTAGAGAATTATGTCTGCACACACATGCCACACCACACATGCTGGAAAGGTGGGTGCTGGACAGCTGCTTAGCACATGTGTGCACATCGATGGAGAAGGCATCAGGTGCCGAGGCTTCTGGAAGAAGAAGTGGGCTCCAACTTGGAAAGGAGGCATTGTCTCTTTAAGTGAGCATAACACTGTATCATCCTTTCTCTTCCTATTTTGGGTTTTATTAGCAAAGCAGTACAATGTTTATACTAGTGGGTATTACATTTGCCAGAACAATTACAGTATGACAAATGGTACATCAATGTAATCCATCAACCTCGCCAAGACAGGAATCCTTTACTCGGGACTGCCATTAATTCTGCGCTCCCGTCTCTGGGGTCCTGGGCCCGTGTAGCCATGACAACGCAGATGACGCCTGGTGTGAATGCTAGAGCTCTGTGAAGGATGGGCACCTCCTAGGTGCACTGGAATTTAACCTCCGACACCCGCATATTAGTCTACCTGGAGCAAGAAATTAGAGATTGGGGCTGGAAAAAAGCATGGCACTTGGGGGAAGGGGTGTTTTTTTCTCCTTCATCATGGTGCAGTGTCTCAGAAGAGGAGAGGGATATACAACTATGGCTAGTGTGGCTCACCTGTCACTAGTTGCTGGTTACCAGCCCCAAAGCCAGGAGCAAATTCAGACCGAGATGTGTCAAGTCTGAATAGCAATGGCAGTTTTAAGGAAAGGGAACAAGGACTCAAGGTATAAAGACAATGAGCATTTGGAGAGAGAGAAGAAGGGAAAGTCATTTTATGATTTATATTGAAAGCCTCAGAGATTCTGAAAAAGCAAACACCTATCTAGGCACAAAGAAAGACCGTTTGATGTACAAAAGGCCCAGATCTCCTCTGACTGGTGAACTCTAGTTCCAAATGGTTGGTATATAATTTCTTGACCCTGGGCTCCCTCTACCTCCCCCATCTGCGGCTTCTCAGAGCAGCTAAACCCCGACGGTTACACATGCCCTCAGACAAGACTGCAGCCATCATCTGCAAATTCACCAGGAGTTTCAGACTTCCTCAATTCATCCCAACCGGCAAATTACAAGCTGGGAGCGGCTTTATAAAATATGAAACGGCTGCTGTCAGTTTTTCCATCAGTTCTACATATTTTGCTGTTAACAAAAGGAACCGATAACCACTTCTCATAAGGAAAAACAAGAATAAAATCAAAGGCCCCTAATGGAGACAATCTCCAAAGTGCAACAACACAAGCCCATTTCTTTTCTTTCTTTTTTTTTCCCCCTTCCCTGACAAATCAATCTGGCCATGGTCCAAGGATACAGGCAGACAGACGGAGCTACCTCACCTGTTTTATTAAGCCATTACCAGAATCATTTTATTCCCATTTATAATGTTCAATACATGGTCTGAAGACTTTTCTAATATAGTAATTAGATGGAACACTAGATAGATGGATTAAATTGGGACGATATTTTATGCCATTGTACATTGCTTTACAATATTCTGCCTGGCTTCTGAGATACCAAAGTGTGAGCGTGTATATATAAATATATCCCTTTTATTCTAGATGGGAAGGCTGTACTTTGCATGTGGCTCATCTCAGTGTGAGACTTCCCATTTGGAAATCTGATGGAAATTTATGAATCCATGATAGAACTCGCCGGGAAATCCATCCTCCATTCTGTCCCCCTGCCCCCAAGCAAAGGTTGCCCAAGCATCACCACCGTTGCCATGGTCACTGCAGCCAACATTTACTGGGTGCTTACTACATACCAGGCATGGAGCTGAGACCTTGACATTTATTAGGAGGTCACATAACTTGGGGAGCTCAAGGGCCCAGACTTTGAAATTGCCCAGAGCTGGGACTTAAACTCTGCTATGTGCTTGCTATGTGACCTGGAGAAAATTACTTTACCACTATGAGCCTCAGTTTCCCCCACCTGAAAGATGAGGATAATATAGGTACCCATCTCACAGGACTGTTCTTAGATACTTACTTAGATACTTAGATGATGCTTACTTAGCACAAGGCCAAAAAGAGAGCAAGTCCTCAATAAATATTTTTATTATCATCTCATTTAGCCCAAGGAGATGGTAACATGCCTCTTTTACAGATAGGGAAACTGAGGCTTGGAGAAAGAAAACACTTAACCTGGGTTATCAAACAAGTGGCAGGTACAGGTATCTGTGTCCAGAGCCTGCTCACTTAATAATTACAAAAGATGGTCTCCCTTGCAGAGCGCCTGGCTGGCTCAGTCAGTAGAGCGCGAGCCTCTTGATCTCAGGTTCGTGAGTTTGAGCCCCACATTGGGTGTGGAGCCTTACTAAAAAAAAAAAAAAAGATTGTCTCCTTTGAAGAGAGAAGGAAGTATCATTTACCAAGACAAGTGCATTGGGGGGGGAGAGATCATTGAACTAAGCGCACCTGAGCCCTAATTTGTACCTAAGATACAGGTTTAAGTTATAATTTTAATTCTAAGGATCTAAGAAATCAAGGCTTGGCAACCAACAAAGAAGATCTCCCTTCATGTAATACCTCCTTTCATCTCTTGAGATGATAAAAATGAAAATGGAGAAATATGTCCCACAGGTGTCACACGATCCTACTCACTTCTCAGGCACTGTACCCAGGTGGAAAACTGAGCCATGGAAGTCAAACCTGAAACATCATAAAAAGATATGATGCCACTTTATAGAGGAGAACACTGAAGCTCAGAGAGGAGGTATAACCCACCCAAGGTCACACAGCTTTTGAGGTCACTTCAGAGATCTCTGCAGCCCTGGAGCCCTAGCCAAGTAGGACAAGAATTGCAAATTCTCACAATTCCAATTATGCACAAAATCTCCACCCTAATCCTGCCCTCCTTGTTCCCCTAACTTAAGACCGTCTCAGGCTACCTGTGCAGGGGCTATATTTAGCTGTGGCGGTTTTGTTTTGTTTTGTTTTTTGTTTTTGTGGGTAAATAGAGACCATCAACTGGATGAAACCTATTAATATGAAAGAGGAGGGCACACCCAGCCACAAAGCTGATAGCTGACTACTTCTGAAGACCTGCCTTCACCATGGCTGGGAAACCAAAATTACCTTCTGTATACATTTTTCTGTATCAAGAGGGACTTCTCAATTTGACAGGTTGTATTATAAACCTTTTTTTTTTTTTTTTAAGAAAAGCCTCAGTAAAACTCCAAAAATCTCTTTGCTGCCAGCTCAATCTACAGTATTGATGGGAAAGTGAGACTTGCCTCCATACCAACTGTCCCCGATCAACACAATCCTGGACTTGCTGTTCTTGCTCCTCTGCTCAGGAAATCGGGCCCCTCGAAAGCCCTACATGGGTGCTCGGAAGTTGTTGAGTACATTTCCAGCTCACCCCAACTCTTCTGCTGCTTTTGTAAGCACAGCTGACAAAGACCATTTCAAGACTAGAAAATTTTCTACAAGGAGCAAGGTGAGGGACAGGGAGCTGAACCAGAATAGGGATGAAAAGAACAGAGAAGTTACTGGAAATGCCAAATACTGACATTTACTCTAGACTTGGCTCCAAGACCACCTCACTGCTTCTCCCAACTCCTGTGTTCATATTTGCATTTTACATTTAAGAAAATGGAGGTTCAGAGAGGTCAAGTGACTTACCTAAGGTCACACAGCTAATTCAAAGCAGAGCCAAGATTTGAACCCAAGTCTGTCTGATTTTGACACCTAGGACTTGTAACTATGAACAACCCTTCAGCAGAATGAAGGTGGGCCCATGCCTTTAACACAGTAGGCAGTTTCTTACAGGAAACCATTCTTCTCAAATCTTATCCTTTTGAAATGACCTTGGGAAGCTAAGCACTGTGGAAGGAATGGATGAGCCTGTGCAATGCTTATAGCCATCCCTTTGTTTATCCACTTTGTATAACAGATTTTCTTATATCAGGTTTTCTTTGCCACAATACAAAAGCCTCCCAAGGAAGGAGAAGCAATTTGGCTGGTCTTGAGATGAGGGGGGGGGAAATAGATCAGATAAAGCCAGGACCTCCCACTGCCACAGAAGAGCACCGTTGGAGGATCCAGAGGCTTTGCCCCAACGCAGAGCTTGAAAGGCAACAATTTCAGTAACAATGACCTCAACAGCCAGTATTTCTGAACATAACCCTGCTGCTGAACCAGGTGTCCAGGGGCTCCTTTCCTGGATCACTGGGTCTCCCAGGGACGGGAATTTCACAACTGCCCAGAGACCCACTATATAGACTGTTCCTTCTGGAGTCTGACTTTGGTGTTTCTTGCTACAGCCAGACTTCACTTCCTTAGAGAAATATCCATGGTGATGACATTTCTTTATCTTGCCTACCACATAGACGCTTTGACGGTCAGTGGCAGGAGGGATGTTACAATTGTTTAGATGACCAAATAAGGACCAGAGATGAAGAGATTATGTGCCCGTAATCACACAGCAAGTGAAGGTTATACTGCTCCCCAACATGAGCACTGACCTCCTTACCTGGAGGATTCCAAGGGGTGTGAGGACATTCCTGCATCTCAGGAAGGACTCCATCCCCTACCTAGGCCTCCAATGCTAGGAGTTGTCCTTGACCATCGCTCTCTCTTCTGTATATCTGTCACTAAATCCCCAACATTCTGCTACCTAGACATCTCTTGAATCTCCCCACTGTGCACCCCCATCCTCACAGCTGTGTTCACTGGGCCCTTTACAATGTCTCACCTGGATCACGGGCCCAGCTTCTCCTTGGGCTCCCACCTCCATGCTGGGCCCCTCTAAACTCTTCTCCATGCAGCAGGCCAGCAAATGTCAGTCATTTGTATAATAGTCTTATTTGCCCCAAGGAGATAGCATCATGCCCATTTTACAGGTGGGGAAACTGAGGAAAAGGCAAATACTTTATCTGGTTCTTGAACAAGAAGTGGCAGGCATAGGTGTCTGTATCCAAAGTCTGCTCACTTAACCACAAAGAGTATCTCCCTCAAGGAGCAGAAGGAGGGATGCCTCTACCAAGATGTCTAAAATCTAAATTCCCTTCTAAAATCTAAAACACAGTACTACTTCCTGCTCAAAACCCAGCCATGGCCCCTACTGCACTCAAGACAAAGTCTGGGCCACCCATCACAATCTCATGGCCTTGCCCACCTCCCTCTCCCACTGAACCCCTAACCTGACTTGACGCTCCACCTCCACGACCTTCTCTGGGTATCTTACCCCCAGGCTCTGCCCGTGTAGTTCTCTTTGCCACAAATGCCATTTGCTATTCTTTTCTTACTAGGCCTGCAACGTCCACTCTCTGTAGCCTATCCCAACCCAGGGACGCAGAAAATGTCCCAGCACATACCTCTCTCTTTTCTGCTCCCCAAAACCTCTCCACTCTCCTCCTACCAAGCACACTTGGACCCCTCAGACCAACAGGATCCTTTTCGTCTCTGAAGAGAGCCTCCAGTTGACAAGAAGGGGTGTCACATCCACAATTTTCTGTGATCCTAGAAAAGAACCCTAAGAAGTGGGGCCTATCTTTTCTTTTTTTTTTGGATGCTTATTTATTTATTTTGAGAGACTGAGAGCATGTGCATGCAAGACAGAGGGGAGGGGCAGACAGAGAGAAGGGGAGAGAAAGAATCCCAAGCAGGAATTCTGACAGCGTGGAGCCTGACATGGGGCTCAATCCCATGACCATGAGATCGTGACCTGAGCTGAAATCAAGAGTCAGACACCTAACTGACTGAGCCACCCAGGCATCCCAGATGTGGGGCCTATCTTATCCTCATGTGCCCCATGTGGCTCAGGGAGGCTGACAGCCTGCTGGAGATCACACAACACTGAAGACAGGACTTGAGCCCAGACTGAGTTCTTTCCTGAGTTAGGTGCTCTACAAACAGAACCTGAGGTGGGGATTCCTATACAGATGACTCATGGAAGGAAGACACTCAGAAGGAAGCTGGAGGGATTGAGGGAGGCAGGCAGGGGCAGGGGCAGGGGCAGAAGCTGGGCAGAGAGGTGGGTTCAGAGGGGGAGCTCTGAAAGGTGAATGGTACCATAGGACAGTCCTGCCTGGAAGGAAGGGGGCAGGGCTGTTGGTCCCCTGAATCAGTTGGTCAGCCCCCAGAGCGGGGTGGGACAGAACGTGTCTGGGCAAGCACTCCTGGAGGCTGAGAATCCCCTGGCAAGGAAACAGCAGGGAGCTACCATCAGCCAACTCACCAGCAGCTGGCAGCACTAGCTGAGGAGGGGAGCTGGGGGGCACCACCAACACCCCCCGTAGATCTGTGGCCCTCCGGCTTCCAGCCGAGAAGGGTGGCAGGGTTGGGGATTCCTAGCCTAACCCAATGCCAAACAGCAGTCCATCTCTTTGGAAGGAGCCCCTGGGGGCTACCGTGTAGAAGTGAGGTTCAGAAAGGTTAAGCAGTCTGATGAAGGCCACACAGTGTTTCATCCCATTTACCACTGAGCCATGACCCTCTGTGATAACTAAGGGCTGACAGGGAGCCTCTCTGTTGTTCTTCCCGTTTCCCTGCCCCTACCCATCGCTCCCTCCCTATCTTCACGAAGCTGCACCTCCCCTTGCCCACTCCCCAGGCTCCCCAGCGCCTGCCCGGGTGCTGGATGGGAACAGTGACACCTTGTCAAACAGGCTTTTGATAAATGCAAATCTCTCTTAATTTGAATTTAATTATCAATGAAGTGAGCGACTCCCAGATCTCTTCTCCCCATCAGAAACTGGCAGATACATCTGTGCACAGAGCGAGACTGGCATCTGCTGGTCCTCATGCCAAGCCCCTCCCGCCAGCCAGCCTGCCTGGCTGTGGCTGCTGTTAGGGGAGGGGAGGAAAAGAGGGGTGTAGGAGTCCCAGCAGCTGCAGCCCCAACCTCTGTGGCTTTCTAGAGCCCAGGCTAGAGCCTTTCACGTGGGTGCCCAGGGAGGTCAGGACACTTGTCTCAAATGTCACAGCAGGGCTGAACCCAGGTGACCTGACTGTATGGTATGGTGGCCAGAGCTTGTTCCACTGGCTGGTGGCTCCACACCTCATTCTTGCCCTGGCCCCATTCTCATCCCCAAACAAAGTCTAGAGAGCGGGTGCCAATCAACAATTACCGTATGCCAAGCGTTGTACTGCACCTTTATTCACACTAGTTCCTTCCATCCATGCAAAGCAGCCTACGGGGCAGCCCTATGGGTGCCGCAACAATCTCAACATACAGATGTGGAAACTGAGAAGCTGAGCGCCAGCACAGGGTCTCCCAGCCAGGGGCACAGAGCCTGGGCTCTCACTGTGTCATGTGTATGTACCTGACACGTGGGGCAGACTGAGAGGGCAAGGGGATGGTGGTTCTGAGCAGAGCAGCTCACATTGTGGTCAAGAGCCCCAAAGCAGAATCTGCGCCTTAAAAAATATACCTCATTCAAAATAATAATGCAAACAGCAGTACCTATGCTGTGGCATGTGTTACAGAGATGAACTCACTGACTCCTGTTAGCAGGCCCATTTTACAGACGAGGAAGCAGAGGTGCCCAGAGATTGGGCACCTTAAAAGTTCAGCGAGTTTTAAAGCCAACAAAAAATACAAATCTCTCTACACAAACTAGGAAATCCAGATGAATCAAAAATAATGATCACTTAAAATCCACCACCACCTATGAGATTTTCTTCAGAATATTCTAGAAAAAAAAAAAGTGGAGGGAGACAGTTGGATAAACGAGACCAGAACAGCAGGATGCTGATAACAGTTGGTACTGGGTGACTGGGACAAGGGGATTCATTGTATTTTTTTCTGTTTCTGTGGATGTCTAAAATTTTCCACTATAAAAACTTTTGAAAAATCTCATCACCCAGGAACAACCTCTACTGAAGTTTTGGTGATTTCCCTTCCAGAATTTTCCCTTTCCCAAAGTGATGGACTTTAATTCAACTTGATAATAACAACAATTATAATAATATCAGCAGAATAAGGAGGAGGGCAATGGGACTGCCTTGGACCAAAGTCTCTCACCTCTGGCCCTGAGCTGCCCCCACTGCCTTAGTTTAAGCAGGGGATTTTTTTAAAAATATTTTTTGATGTTTTATTTATTTCTGAGATAGAGAGAAAGCACGAGCTGGGGAGGGACAGAGAGAGAGAGGGAGATAGGAACCAATGCGGACTCCGTGCTGACAGCAGAGAGCCTGATGTGGGGCTTAAACCCACGAGCCACAGGATCATGACCTGAGCCAAAGTCAGACGCTTAAGCCAACTGAGCCACCCAGGCACCCCTTAAGCAGAGAATTCTTAGACCAAATCCTGACCCCCTTCCCACCCACCTGGGACTTTCCACCCACCTGACAGCAAAAACCTGCAAATTCCTGCATTGCCTTCATATGTGTTGGCTCTTGCCCTGGATGACAGACCTCCTGAAAAACAAGTGCTGGGTCCTGGAACCAGATTCCGGGAGGTTAAATACCAGCCAGCCACTTACTTGCTGCGTGACCTTGGGCAAGTCTCTTCTCTGAGCCTTCCACACCCACCTGTAAAATGGGTTAACAACTGTTGCAAGCTCAAGGGGTCACTGTGTCAATTAAATGAAATGACACAGAAAGAGCTCAGCACCTTCTTCCCGATGAGGGCTTGATAAAGTTCCTATCACTTTATTTTTGGATGCAAAACTCTCTGACCCCACTGCCCTTGCAGCTTTGCCTGAGGCCACTCAATGCAGGCCTGCTCCCCTCACCACCAGACCTTGGCTGTCCTCAGCTCTGGCAAGGTTGGTGCACCTGCCCTGCTCACCCATAAATCCATGGCCCCAAGCTGAGCTGCTGATCTCCTCCATACACTTACCTAGTCCTCTCCCAGGTGCTTCCATCTCAGGAAAGGGCAGCTTCATCCTTCCCTTGGCTCAGGCTAAAATCTTAGAATTACCCCAGATGCCTCTCATTGTCTCACATCTTACGTGCAGCCCATCAGCAAATCCTATTGGCTCGACATTCATTCATTCATTCATTCATTCATTCATTCATTCATTCATTCATTCATGCATTCCCGACTTTTAAATTATAGCTAGAAATTTCATCCCTTCTCACCCTCTCCACTGTCTTCTCATCCCCCTCACCACATGTATGAATGGCTACAATAGCCTCTCCATGGGTCTCCTACCCACAATCCCTTGAGGCTATTCTCCAAAGGCAGCTAGAGCCAGCACTCAAGTCCATGACTTCACTATTCTGCTCCAGCCTTCCAGGGCTCCCAGCTTACTGGTAGTAAAAGCTAAAGTATTTATCCGGGCTCTATGCACACCAGCTTCCTCGCCCTCCCTTCAATAGGCACTAACTGTGGTAAAGTACATATAACATAAAATTTAACATTTGAATCATTTTCAAGTGTTTCATTCAGTGTCATTTAGTACATTCATAGTGTTGTACAATAATCACCTCTATCTAGTTCCAGATCATTTTTATCACCCCCAAACCCAGTAAGCACTCATTTCCCATTTCCTCTTCCCCCCAGCCCCTGGCAACCCTGCATTCTGTCCCAGTGGATTTGTCTATTCTGGACATTTTGTGGAAATGAAATCATACACTCTGTGGCCTTTTATGACTGGCTTCTTTAATTTTTTTTTAATGTTTATTTATTTTTGAGAGAGACAGAGAGACAGAGAGAGAGACAGACAGACAGACAGCACAAGTTGGGGAGGGACAGAGAGAAAGAGGGAGAAACATAATCCAAAGCAGATTCCAGGCTCTGAGCTGTCAGCACAGAGCCCAACGTGGGGCTTGAACTCATGAACTGGG